ATTCTTCCAATCACAGAGTTTCCAATCTCAACTAAATGAGCTGCCAAACCCATCCCCTGAAGCTGATTCGGTAATATGGCTACCCTCTCCCAACTTTAATTTTTCCCTTGCTCATACAATCAACTACCTCCTTCCCCCTACATTCAATTTTACATGGTACAAGACCATTTGGTTTGAGCATCATATCCCCAAACACAGTTTCATCACCTGGTTGGCCATAAAGGGAAGACTATATACACTTCGGATAGAAAACCAATGAGACACAAACATTATATTAACACATGTTATCTTTGTCTTGTTAACTGTGAATCACTGGATCACTTATTCTTCCAATGTCAGTTTTCAAAGGTAATCTGGTCATACATTCAGCACTCAATTGGGCTTTACATCCAACCTTCTTCCTAGAATGATTTGATCACTTGGTGCTCTTCACACTGGAGTTCAATGGGATTCTTGGTCCACAAATTATTGCTCTCAGCTGCTGTCTATTTTCTTTGGATGGAGAGAAATAATAGAGCTTTCAGAAACTCATCCTCACCCCAAATACTATCATCAGTCAGATTAGGAAATCAATCAGAGGGAGGTTGGCTTCAATCAAGCTGAAGAAAATAGCTGACCTAAGAAATATTAACAAGCTTGATGACTTGCAGAAACTCTTTATGGAAAGTTGCAGCTTAGCTCATGCCCAGGCTCTTATCACTGATTAGCTGCTGCTGTCCTAAGTTAAAGATTTGATGAGATGCTATCTATTTAGCTTTGGTTTAGAATGGTCTTCGTGTAAGTTTTGGTTTTGCTGTTAGCCTGATTTGCTTATATATGTTGTTTGTAGTTCTCATGCCAAGCTTTTGCTTGTTAGCTTTTGTTCCTCTGTATGTTGCAGTTTGGTGTCCCCAAACTTTGGGGTTGATTTGTACATATTTTCTCCTTTTATAAAAGCTTACCTTTAACTAAAAAAAAAAAATGTATAGAATGTTTTGAAAGAGAAATGCTAGCAACAATTGGTAGGTTGATGATAGAAGGACACTTATGATTGATTGAAAAATCATCCATTGTTTTTTTAACCAATCACAACAAATGTGAAACAAAAATAAAATAAAATAAAATATCACAGTGATTTGGTTGAAAAACAATCATACCAGAGCTGTTGGGATTGGTTGAAAAGTTAGCACTCCTTATTCTTATTAGGAAATTTATATATTTTATTACATAATATAGAACAAATTACATAGAGAAATTATTTAATAAAATGACATCAACAAATTTTTTTTTTTTTTTTTTTTTTTTTTTTTTCCATCTTCAAATTAAACTACAAAATGAGATGTGGTGGAGACCTCCTTCTATAAAATAGATTTTTTTTTTTTTTTTTGGTAATAATAATTACCATAAGTATCATAATAAAATTTACCATAAATAATTTTATAATTTTTATTAAAATATCTCCAACAAGCTAGTATAACTTATCCATGCCTGCAGACAACCATGCCATGGTCCTTCTTCTTGTGCAGTTACCTGCTCTCTGCGTGGCTAATCTTTCCGTCGAGTGGGAGCTCTTCAACCTCTTTTTTGTTATTGGAGTATTGAACTCCATCTTATTCTCCAATATACTTTTGCTGTTTTTTTTGGAAAGTAATACACTTTTGTTGTTGACTCTATATATCTTGTATACATCTCTATATAGAATTTTATAACCAAAAAAAAAAAATTAAATCACCTTCCCTGTGAAAGCTCGAAAATGAGATAGGCAGCTCAAAATGATTGGCGAATGTTAAATTTGTAAGTTTATTTACCCCCCAATAAAAAAAATATGGCAATGGTCCTAGTAAAATATGGCAAACTGCACAACAAGCCCACAAAATTTGATGCGGCTGATGATGGAAGCCCAATTAAGTTGGCTCTTGATCCCTAGGCTCTACTAGCCTACCTGGTTTTTCTAATATATATATATATATAACAGCCACACCATGTATTATAATATCAAGGCCTACTAAAAATTAATCATGATATTAGAAGTATTGTAGGGTCATCATGGCATGGTCAACCATAAAAGCAGGACACTAATAAGGGACAAAGTGAGAAACCATTTAATCTTTAATAATTCCTCTGATATGAGTTGTCTATAAAATAAGACACCACCTCATTGAGTGGTTCATGCTTGAAGGTTTGCTTTCCCTGCTGCAGTGACTGACCATACAGTTTCTCACCCCAGTTAGTGAACCTGCATATGAAACAATTCAAAATTTGATCATGGCATGTACACAACATATGCATGTGTAATTACATTTTCAAATATATATATATAAAAAGGAAATATCCTATTCTTATGCGGAGGAAATGTTGAGCACATTTGGTCTCCTCTAAATTTCGTGTTGGCAATAGTCTCGTGCATAGGGTTAGTATTTTTTTATACACAAAGAAAGAGAGAGTATTGTGCTACACAGTCTAAAATTGTGAGAGCAATTATTAGATAATCAACAAAAAACTTATATTCTGGTTTATGCCTTTTTTATATTATCTTATTAAACATTTTGACTCCACTTTTTTTATAATTGGAGAGTTTTGATCTGGACCACATATCCAACACTATTTAATAAATTCTCAAACTCTAGCCTTACTCTGAGTACTACTGATTTGGAGTGTGCAGCATTTTTCACATTCATGCATGAGTAGATAATTCCGCATATACATATGTGTGTGTGTGTGTGTGAGAGAGAGAGAGAGAGAGACATTTTGGGGGCTTGTTGAGGATTGTAATGTGAAGTAGAAGACGTCGAGATGAAAGATTTATAGGTTTGAGCAATAAAAGGAAAATGTATGTGATGATGATGACAATGAGAGGTGCTTGTATTCATCATGTCTTGGTATAAAAGCGAAAGGTAGTACTACTACTACTCCAATTATAGAATTGGTATACTCAATGTCCACCTCACTATATACTACCATCAATCATGACTCCCTATGCCCACCCTTCCTTAAGAATCCATCATCTCTTCCAAACCAAGCAAAAATCATTCAAATTCACATTCTCTAATTGTTAATTAATCTCTCTCCATTTCCATCTTTTTCTCTATCTCACATATATATATATATATATATATAATCAAGACTCATCATTATTTGCTTATATTTTAATGATCTTCCATTATTATTACTATGTACTATAAATTATATTATATATGAAGAAAATTTTGATTGATATCCGTTGGAAATTTCTTATTATTATGTTTTATTCTAATGGCTATAGTTTTATTATTCAGATCTGTTTGAGTACAACTAACTTATATTTAAGCATGGTATATAATAATATATAGAAAGTGTACAGTAATCAAAGGAGGCACCATGATTGGTGAAAGATTTTGTTTCACCGTTACATAAAAATATTTATAATTGAAAGAAAATTGACGGCATCACCATAATCGATGTAAAATTTTGCTCTACAATTATATAAAAATATTTATATATTTTAACATTATGTTTTATTATACAAACCTTTCTTGTTTGGCACACAATCAAATTGATTAGCTGCTCAAGTGTATGCTATATAACTGATATGATGAGATCAAGTCTGATAAATTAAGCAATACTATAATGTTTGATTGATTTTTTAAGCGACTCCATAAGATAAAGATTTTTTATCAAGAATAGATCAAATACATTTTATCTTCCTAAAGTGTTTCTATCGACCATTGTCGCATCAATGGTAATTTTTAGGCATTGTAAATCTATTTCCATGATATATATAAATTGGTTTATGGTTAGGGAGGTTTGTGTAAACATTATTGGGATTAATAGACTAATTAATAAGCAATTAATGTGCAATAAATTGTACCATAAATGTTCTCTCACAATTGATTAACTTTAATTTCTCAGTCTCTGTTTGGATAAGTTTTAGATCTGTGCCTAAGATTTCTAATTATGAAACATGAATAAAGATTAAAAAGAGTGTAAAGGAATACTAAAGCGTGCTTACTTTGCTATGATTCCATCAGCCATAAAAAGGAGATATAATTCGGTGTAAAGCAAATTTAATACCACTAAAATACATAGACTAGGAAAGAGGCTCTCCCGCAATTCTCGGACCCAGCTTCATTCGGCCCAGCTTGGCATCGAATGTTTATCACTTTTCGCTTAATTTGAGGACCATAAATTAAATTAAATTTATAAGAAGACATAAATTTGTCCCCTTAAAGCTATCAGCTCATCTATGCCATAATTTACCAAATTAAAACATGTTTAACAAACAGAATTTTCAAATTAAATTTTAGAATTATAAAATGGTTCATTTATAATCATTTGGTACAAATAAATGATATATATATATATATTTTTGGTTTATTGATATTGATTTTTTTTTATATAATAAAAATTCTTTATAGATACCATTACTCTTTCAGAAAATGTTGTCTTATCCTTCCATGTTTACAAAACAAGAGTTATAAAAAAAATAAATAAATAAATGACAATACTAGAGACAAGAGTTATAAATAAGTAAATGACAATACTGCCCTTTATATCATTACATAAGTCCAATATTAGCAGTATCGCTTCTCTCCTCTCCTAACACAAAAACTAAGATTTGATTTTACTTCAGAGATAATAATATTATCCAATTTTCTTTTCTGTTTCCTCCATCCAATTTTCTTCTTTCTTCTCTAAGTAATAATGTTGTTATAAACTCTATAAATTTCATTTGTTTATTTTATAAAATAATACATTTCGAATTATAACATCTACCATATATTTCAACTTAACATTAGTTTCCAATATATAGAAAGCCTAAATATAGATATCTATAAATATCTTTGTTCTTGATAAAAATAATAATAATAATAATAATAAAAGTCTAGCTCCAAAATGGCTCATAGTGAGCTAAATAGCACCGCCCACCTAGCTAGCCTTCAGCCCAAAAAAGCAACGTCTCTTTCTCTCTCTCTCTCTCTCTCTTTTCCCAGTTTAAAAACTCCCTTTCCATTGTCAGAAGAGAACATCATCTCTCTCTCTCTCTCACTCATACTCTTTCTCTCTCTAAATGACTAATTACAGAATGGATGCAGAAGAAGAAGCTCTGTTTCGGTCATACCCTTATGCACTCTACTTCGTGCAGAGCCCATCAACCGCCTCTCGGGCCAACAGTTCTCCCATTCGATCCGAGAACTTCAACATCAACAACCCAACAATCAACACAAGCCAAGAAGTCAGGAGGTTCACTCTCTCCCATTACTCCTCCTCTCGCGGCTCCAACAATTCCTCCTTCTTGCAGGAGAAAAAGATCATTGCGTATGACCTTCAGAGCCACGGGACAGCTGCTGGGACCGAGAATGGCGAGAACCGTCTGATTAGGATCTCTGATGACCATGATCACGGGGTTGATCATGATGAGGATTATGATGATGATGAGGAGGAGGAGGAGGATTATAAAAAAAGTGGGTGGTGGAGATATTTGAGTTTTAGGGGTTCTTCTTCAGTTGGGTGGATATGTCTGCAGATAAGTTGGAGGGTTATATTGAGTTTGGCTGTTGCATTGCTTGTTTTCTACATTGCTACTAAGCCTCCACCTCCCAAGATATCTATTAAGGTACGCATATAACATATACCTCTCTCCCTTTTATTATTTATTTTTTTACCGGGCAAACGAGGAGGAGGGGAGACTAAAATAAGGCACACCCGCTCGGAGAGCTGAGCGTTCTACCAACTAGGTTACTGAATAATGCTCAACATATTTCTCTCGGTGCACTCAAATTAATTACAAAAATATTATAAGCATGCACCATCTCTATAAGATTTGAATCCTCTGCAATATGTCCTCAAACAACTCCATGTCATCATTTGACGATTATAAATATGACACGTTTTCACTTGTTCGAAATGATTTCATGCATAACGAAATCTAAACAAAAATAATTATGTGATGACGTTTTTGTAACAAGATGCTTGGAGAGGATTCAAATTTTGTGTATACAAGTATTATAAGTATATAGAAATGACCAACAGTACACCCGTGAGTAAGAAAAATTCTCTACACTGAGTACAGTGATCATTGAATATGAGTGTATTTTTATATTTATATCATAGTCAACAATAGTTGAAGTGAAGAAAATTTCTTGTTCATCGGTGGGCAAAAAATCATTTATATATATATATATATATATATATATATAGAGGGAGAGAGGGAGTATAGAGTTCTATCATTGTGATCCTAGCATTGATATTGATATCACATGACAACATATCGCATGACAACTACAGTTGTTGCTGCATTCTGAACTGCAGTTGTATTATAAGTTATATATATATATATATATATATATATATATAGGGAGAGAGGGAGTATAGAGTTCTATCACATTGATATTGATATCACTTGACAACATATCACATGACAAATTACCGAAAAAAAACATATCACATGACACCTACAGTTGTATTATAAGTTATATATACCACACTTCTTTTCAATTGTCCTAGATGCAAATCAGGCCATCATACATGCGCACTACACACAGAGAGAGTGTGTGTGTGAGAGAGAGAGAAGAAAAGCATTATGTGGAAATTTGCATAATAATTAAAAAGTCAAGAAAGAAAAATATACATCAATAAGATCCATTGATCACGTGAGTTCTGCTACTTTAGTCATGTGGTACATCAGAACTTTCCATTTGATTATGGGTTCTTTATTTTCGAAAAATTAGTTTACCTTACAAAATACAATCCCAGCCCAATACCAAGCCCAACTCTAATATAAGCTGGCCGGTTTTCTCGTGGTTGTGTGACATGTGGAGTCAGGTTTGGGCTAACTTGAAGCAACTTGAAAATTATTAGGCCTTTCTTTATCATGTTCCCTATCCCAGCCCAAAATAGGCATGAATCTTCTATAATATCTATGGGCTGAATACTTAGACTAAATTTATTGAGCCTTACTTTTTCATGTCCCCGGACCAGCCCAAAATTGGCATGAAATCTGCTAAAAATCTATGGGCTGAATAGTTAGTCCATAAGGAGACCTGAAATTAAATTCCCCATTTTGATATGGGACAACTTGGGCAGGTCAACTTGAATTCCCATTAGTGGCATTTTGATATAGCCTAACATATTCTTGAAGTTTTTAACTCGGATTTAGAATTCAGTTTTTTTTACACGTATCATTCAACTCAGCAGTGCGGTACAAAAGCGAGACATTAAAGACTTACCTTCTGAATCCTTGCCAGTAGTGCGGTACAAAAGCGAAACCTTAAAAACTTACATTTCGAATCCCTGCCAACGCCGCTATATCTCTAGGAACGATTTAGAATTAAAGTTGCCTTAGTTAAGATTGAAAATTTTATGGCCAAATAGTATTTATTCCCTACTTCTTTATACTTTATATATCTTTAGATTAAAGTCGCTGGCATTAAAAGCATTTTCGTTTCAGTAATGCTTGTGGTATAAATTATCACTGTTATAATCGATCCTCATGTATATACCACAATTCTTCAATGCAAATAAATATTATCAATCGTTATTATTTGATATTCTCAAGGCTATTTGTTGTTGATTATCGTCGTAAGAAACATATACTAATTATAGGGTGTCATTTACACAAGATTTAGTTACGTCTTTGTCCATAAACCTCATTGTATTGCACGTCTATTGCCTAATTAGGGTAAAAAATATATTTTTTACAGCGGTCGCAATCACCAAACTGTGGCCAATTATTTTGTCGTGGTTGAGAAATATTGTGGTGTCATTTTCATATGTCCACAACTAAAAGGATCATATTATTGTGGAATCCTGAAAGATAAGCACCTTAAAAAAAGTGACTTTTTTTTTCTTTTCTTTTTTTATAATTATAAAAAATAAAAAAAGGTACTCTTCCTTTTGCTTAAAAATTGAAATCTTGTCAACTATTGGTCTAGTAAAAATAATAAAAAATAAAAAAAAAAAAACTAAAAAGTTTTTCCTTTGTAATAACAAAAATGTTAATTCTTTGACCTGGTAACAACAAAGTTATACATATTAATCTACATATAAGTTAGGCTATAACCCAAATTTATTTATTTATTTATGTTTTTCTATTTCTGGGTTGATATTTGAGGTTGAAATGTATATATGTTGCAGATGGCAGGAATTGGGCAATTTGGACTAGGAGAGGGAGTGGATGGGTCTGGTGTTACAACAAAAATTCTGACCTGCAATTGTTCCATGAATCTAGTGATAGACAACAAGTCTAAGCTCTTCGGCCTTCACATTAATCCTCCACTCATGGAATTGTCCTTTGCCAAACTCCCTTTTGCAATTTCATATGTAAGGATGTTTGAATTAATGCCCCACACACACACACACACACACACACACACACACACACAAGCATATGTATTTTTACACATATATAGGAAGAAGAGTGAACCATTGAAGTGTCTTGGTAAAAATATCTATCATATCTTTCCGTAGTTACTCTCCAATTCTGGAGATGTTCGGTTCTTGGTGATTGTCACTATCAGGTGAGACTCATCACGTGATATTGCATTGATTGGTCCACCAAACCTCTCTCGAAGAGAATTTTAACTCATTTTAATGGTTCACAATTGAAAGTCTTGCATATATATATATATATATATATATATATATATATATATATTTCACGAAAATATAAATTATCGGGAGCTAATGCTTTTAGTATATGTAGGTTTCTAAAATGAGGAACTTAAGAGAACTAATTTTTCCATTCATATATTTGTAATGGTTGAATTGGTCATATAGTTTTCTTGTTCATTTTCAATACAAGTTCGCTCAAAAAAAAATTATTTTATTTTATTTACTTTTAACTTTGTAGGGTCCAAAATTATACGCATACAACGACGGTTTAACAATGTTTAAACTATACGTTGGAACGAGGAACAAGCCGATGTATGGTGCAGGCAGGACCATGCAGGACATGCTCGAGTCGGGTGAGGGATTGCCATTAAAGATTCGCGTAAGCTTGAGATCGAATTTTCGGGTGGTTTGGAACCTTATTAAGCCTAAATTCAAGCATCAAGCTGAGTGTTCATTAGTCCTGCATAGTTCATATGGTAAGAAACATAGTAGAAACCAGGCTTTTAATAGCAGCTGTGTAATAAATGCTTAATCTTGAGTATTGTTTATCTTGATATATACAGAAAAATTAAGTACAAGTGAGAGTTTGTGGCAAATCTGAATTAATATAAGTAAATCTTTGTCACATTTCAGACCCCGTGATTTCAAATCCCTTAGTTTACTTAGTAAATTTCTTTGATAATCGCACAGAAAGTGCATATGTGTGATAGTGAATTATAATGTGTTTTAAGTGATTCCATACAGTATGACAATATGTGTATATGTATATAAATATATATATAATTTCATAATGCACACGCAATACAAATATTTTACTTACATGACAATAATAGACCATTGTCGTACTAAAAAACAAGGTAACTAAGAAAATACTTGTGTTTTCAGCCGTATTGTGTGTGCGTTTGGCCTGTTTTGTCTGGTCGGCCCCTTAATATTCCCTTATATATATATATTTGAGAAAAAAAAAACAAGGTAAGAAAAGCAAATGAAATAACCATTACAAGTTTGGATGTGACAGAAAGTTAATATGAAAAGAAATATATAATTATTATATGATGAAAATATAATTTTAGATGACAATTTCTTAAACCACCTAATGTTGACCTATTATATACTATTTTCTCTGTCTCAATCTAGATATTATTTTTGGGAGGCAAAATTTTTAAGGAAACAATGCCCTTTTAAGTTTTAAATATTCAAGTTTGAAATTTTAAACTCTAAAAACATATATAGAAAGATGTAAAATATATTATTTATAAAAAAAAAAATGACAATTATTTTGGGACAAATCAAAAAAGAAATGCTTGACATTTTTTTTTTTTTTTTGGGATAGAAGGATGGACACAACACTTTTCGGATTTGGACATACCTAAGAGTCCTGATGCTGCACGAGGAACACTATTATTGAGTGAAAATATATATATATATGTGTGTGTGTGTGATGATAATATCAAATTCTGGATGGCAATTTTTAAACTACTTGACATTGACCTATTATTTTCTTTGTTTGGACACAACAATTTTTTAGATTTCAACATTTCAAAGGATCCTATTGCAACAGGAGTAACACTATTGAGTGAAACATTGCGATTTACTTATTTTTTAAATAATAAAAAAAAAATGAAATTTGAAATTTTATGATTTGTTAAATAATATCGAGATTAGTAAGGGAAAAGGCAAAGAAAAAAGGAAAAAGAGAGAGAAAGTAGAACTTAAACTTGAACTCAGGACAGGGTATTGTGGTCATCTTCTAATTTGTGCTTATTTTAAAGATTATTAAACATACACCAAACAATATTTTGCGTCATGTACGATAAATGAACTTAAACTTGAACTAGGGACGTTTGCAATAGCATCGTGATCATCTTTCTATTAGTTTGGCATTGACAACTAATATTAAGTTGCCTCCGGAGAGTTGGTGGAGTTGATAAGGTAACGGTTTGAGGTGCTATATATCCCAGATTTTAGTCCGTTCATTCCCATTATATTTCTTGACTGAAATTGGTACAGAGGTGTAGGGCCATCGACAGTATCTCTAGATTTGTGGTCTAGGGTGGATCCCGAAGGGGCCTGCCCAGGTGAGTTTCGAGTGCCAATAAAAAAAAATAAAAAAACATTTTCACATGCTAAGAAATAAGAATAACGTCTGAATTACTTAGGCCAATAATATCTCTAGGAGCCCATTCCTCGAGAGATGGTAGGTTCAATCAAGCATGAGTCAGAATTCTCTCCGGTGCACTGAGCAACAGCAAGTATCATGCACTGAAAATGACTGATGCATGGAAACAAATTCCAATGTTTTTTTCCTTAAAATTTGGAGTTGTTCTACATATAATAATTATTCTCATTCCAATGAAATTGAGGGACATTGTCAAATCTAGGTTTTACAATCTTTTCTTTTTTTTTGTATAGTAAGGTTTTACAATCTTGTTATTGTAGATAAGTTGCACTTCTCTTTAATTATTCTTAAAAGAAAATTTTCCTAACTTCAAGAATTTAAAAAATCGAAAGGTTCCATCATCTTATATATATGTATATAGATAGATATAAATCTCGAAGTATCTTATATATATTTTGTTGACAGAGAAGTTAAACAATTTTTTTGATACAAAATATATTTTTCATGAATTTCAAAATTAATATAAAATAAATCTTGCAAAAAAAAATATATATATATAGGAGGAGGATAAGCACTATGCAGCCAATTGATTAACTTATCAACCCAAACAAACATCGCCGTCTTGATTCTTGTCTGTCATTCCATTGACATGGAATTAATTAATTTATTATCCCATAATAAAGATTTAAATTACATATATAATCTTGTGTTTTTAACCGTATTGGGCTTTTGGCCTGTTTTGTCTGTTAGGCCCCTTGGATTTTCTCACTATAATATGTGAGAAAAAACAGAAAAAAAACAAGGTAAGAAAAGGAAATGAAATATCCATGAATTCTACTTTACATGTTTGGTTGTGACATAAAGTGAATATGAAAAGAAATTTATAATTATATATGAAGAAAATACAATTCTAGATGCCAATTTCTTAAACTACCTACTCCTCCTTGTGTTTGGACACAACACTTTTCGGATTTGGACATTTCAAAGAGTCCTAATGCAGCAGGAACATTATTAAGTGAAAAATATATATAATGAAAATGAGTAGTGATCTTCTTATCCATTCAACCACTAGTGCTGATCATTATAATTGCTTACACGTATAGAATATTCACACATATGAGCAATCATAGTCAGGGATAGAGCCGCCTTATAGTCAGTGGGGGCGATTGGGGAAATCGTTCACACTAATTTTTAATCGCCCCCACTAATTTTTTCTTTTACTATTATATACCACTAATTTTTCTTATTTTCAATTATATACTTATAAAATTTTCACTTTATCCCCTTAAAATTACCAAAAAAAAAAAAAAAAAAAAAACACTACTGCTAAATTCACTTTGCCCCCCCCCCCCCCCAACTTCCTGGATCCATCCTTGATCACACAGTCTGTCCTTGATCACAATTGTCTAGTGCAGCACTCTTACACCAAATCCTACTCTATTAAAAATATCAATGGCAATTTTTTAAACTACGTGATATTGACCTACTATTTAGTGCGTTTGGACATAACTTTACGGATTTGGACCTTTCAAAGAATCCTAATGCAGCACGAATCACTATTGAGTGAAACATTACGAAGAAAAAAAGAAAGGCGAAAACTTAATATTCAATTTAATAGTTTTGAGATTTGAAAAGAAAAAGGAAAAAAAGAAAGAAAAGTGAAGCAGATATATCATTTTGCCATTTCTTTAGTTCATACATAAATATTAAGAGATGACTTTAAACTTGAACTCGTGACTTTTGCATTGGTATCATGGTCATCTTTCTATTTGTGACGAGTATCAAACAGGTCCTTAGCTAATTTGTTGTGGCCAATATTAAGGTACATTTTCACATCCGCGCTAAGAAGGTTAGAACAAAAATACTGTCTGCTCATAAATTTGAGACCGAGACAGGATCGATCCAGTGCATCAACAAGTGTCATGGACCGGAGAGGTTTTAAGTTCTCTGCAGGGTTTCTTCAAATTTAGTATAATTCTGGTCATTTTATTTATAATCGCTCTTTTTTTTTTTCCTTGTTGGTACTCACACACATGTCTCTTCTGAGACTTGAACCCCTAACCTCCCTTTCGGAGGTAAGAGGCCGATAACGTTAAGCCACTAGCCCGATGATGAACTTTCACTCTTTAAAATCATATTAGATCGACTTGATAAAACTCTAATAGAGGGAGGACCTCTCTTTTGAATTGGTATGGTCCATTTGATAAAATGAGTTCAAATGAACCAAATTTTCATGTCATCAAATCTCAAAATAATTTGATGATGCCCAACGTACTCTATCAACTTTACTATCTAATCCACAAATTTAGCTATGCACTTAGTGGCACACCACCATTAGCACATACTTAATTCATAAAGGAATCTTGAAATAGACCATAAATATATACAACCCAAAAATGGAATTGTTTTATTGTAGTGACACTTCAATCCCTTTTTTGGTTAAGATAATTAAAGGAAGTGTGCCTTATGGAAAGGGCATATCAAGTGGCACTTGTTTTGTGATCAATCTTTGAATGCGTTTACCACATAAACAAAAAGGTTATTGCATTAAAAGTGAGTGCATAAATTAATATCACTTTGACAAAAATAAATAAATAATAATAATAATAATTTATTTATTATTACTTTTTCTATGAAAAGATATAAGTTTGTAGCTAATTAGAAGATGTGTTGCTCTATTTGAGTGGCAAATTTAATTAATTAGAGCTAATATGAGAAACTGTGTGTGCTTATAATTACAAATGCAGGCAATTTTTCAAGGTCTTAAACACCTCACACGCTGTCACACACACATATAAACACTTGAATGACTTCATTTGTAGTGACCTTGTAGGCAGGTGTGTCATGAACGGGTGCGAGTCACTGACAGCTTATCGCACTGGGTAAGTTAAGGGTGCACAATCTCACATTGTCTGAGTAAGAAAAAGGTAAAGTGCTTATATGTGGTGATGTTATCTCCAATTAGTATGAGATCTTTTGAGATAAAACCCAAAAGCAAAACAGTGTGGACTCAGACCCAAAGCGGACTATATCATATCATATGGTGGAGTGGGTTGTTACAAATGGTATCAGAGCCTAACCCAGCTGGAAGTGTGGCCAACGATGACGTTGGGCCCCAAATGAGGGGTGATTGAAGCAACCTTGTGGACATTGCTTGAGTGTGGAAGGGACAAGTGTTATATGTAGATTTAACACCCTTCTATGACACAACGCGTTTAAGAGTCAGGTAACCCCTAGGAAGTCTTTGGTCCGAGAAAGTTAAAAGCGGACAATGTTATATGTGGCTAAAGTAAGAGTTGTTACATCATTAATTTACTCTAAAATTTTGATCGATACATGCCCACATTCCACCATTTTTTGATTTTTCAAACATTGTAAACGAATCCCACTTTATTTCCTTACAATTTTGTGTTGTTTTATGGTAATTATTCTTCATTTCAATGAAATTTAGGACCATTGTCAAACCAAGTTTTACAATATTGTTCTTTTAGTTAAGGTGCAGTTCTCTTTAATTATTCTTAAAAATAAAATTTTCCTAAAATTCTAGAATTTAAAGAATC